ACTGCAAAGTACAATGACTTAATCCAAAACAGCAGGAAACCACCATTGTAATATGTTATTCCACCATAACCACGCGGGTTCAAGTTCTCCGAGTAGGTATAAGTCGAAGGACACAAGAGATATCAACGGGATTCCCAAGATCAAAACCTCCAAAATAAAATTGATGTTGTTTGCCTTCGCACACTTTTAATGAACAAACCCGTATCATGCCAGATGTGAGCTGAACACAACAACAGTCTCTACGGTAGGCCCACGGAGAGATGAAACGGACATGTCTTCTGCTGAGACCAGATGGGTGACTCCTTCTTATTAAATCGAGCTCGACAACGCATGCGCGATTCCCAGCAAACTACTGGGCGTTGATGTAAGTAGCCCACTGGAAGCCATATTTGGCGCCAGACTGATCGACAAAGCCCTTCTAATTCCCTGGACCGTAACCCGTGCTTACCTATCCGTCAAGGAGAGAGCCCTTGCTTATCACTCAGAAGAGGAAACAGTCACGGCGGAAATATAAACTAGCATGGAGTATGCGAGAAAAATATCCGTATCATCCCTTGATATGCTGGCTATCCCCAACTTTCCACCGACGGATTAGACCTGACGGACAACTGCCCCTTTAGGTAGAATAACCTATCCTCAGGTACTGTTCCCCCGCGCGATATTCCGACAGTCCCAGGAGAGGCTCATTTTGCAACCAGAAAGCAACCCCCTTCCCCCCATCCTGCGCCAGATGCCCGCTACCACAAACAACTGGAACTCTCTGCATCCAATACCGCCGCTTCAGACAATGCCAGAGATGACCAAGAACATCCACGACGTCCAGCGCGTAGTTTGTGATTTCTTGTAGGCAGCATCCCGGCCTCCTTGTAAATGAATATTCCTGTGGACCCTGTTGCTATACTCGACCATGCAAAACACGGCTCACCTGCTAAGCCAATGAGAGTTTGACCCCGTCCACAGGCACTGTGTTACCTGCCAAAGGACGTCTGTGGATGCAAAATATGCATGTCCCGAGCCAAGAGCCAATATCTTGTACACAGTGATTCACTGGCTAGGAGGCTCTTCCTGCTTTGAAACGGGGATCCGTACCAGAGTAGCAGGCATAGGTGAGCCATTCGGTAGTCTTTTGGTAGTTGAATCTGGTGTGTGTTCCATCGGTAAGTTCAAGTTCGCGGCTTTCGCTTTAAATTTGATCAGCATCGTTTGAGAGCAAATCTACATCAGAGAGCAAACTTACTCGAGGCCATGCTGATGGCCCGCAGTACATTATCCCAGTTTGCAAGGACACACGCGACAGCTACAGCCAAGACGAGAGTCAATCAGGACATACTCCACCATGATATTTTGAATTGACAAACCTTCTGTGCCATCCTTGAGGGTCCCAAGCTTGTCCTGTAAAGCCTGCATCTGCGAGGCCAGTGCTGCACTCATATCACGAAGCTGCCTCAGATTGTCTAGTTCAGCCCTTTTTGCTGCAATGCGGGATGCTAGGACCGAAGACTGTTGCTGTGAGATTGTTGTAGATTGTTGGTTTGGCTGACGAAACGAGGATGTGGCCGAGGATCCGGGAGGGAGCATGGAAGCAGTGCGAGACATGTATGCCATGATGTAGAAGATTTGTTGCTACTGGCGGCGGTTTGTAGATGTCTGACCCTCTTTGAAGTCAATAGAGGCGGGGTATATTAACGGATAGTGAATAGTGAAAGACGCGGGCTGCACAGACTGCACGCTAGTTGGTATGACTGCAGTTGTGGCTTGTAGATTTAATGAAGAGCTGTATTACAAGAGAATGTCGGTTTTTAAAGGGAGCTGCGGCTAGATGATAAACCGAAAGGCAATATGTGAATGATTCATTGCGGCTAGCTTCAATCATTATTATGATGCACCATTTGAGCGGTCGCAGACCGACAGCAATCACACTAGTCCCGATAAGGGCATTTGTCAACAACCAACCCGCGTTTGTCAACTATCACGGGGCCACATCCACCCACTCTTGTTTACTCACCGGTTAATTCGGATAAGGAGGCGAGATACTATCTACAATACGGAATAAGTGTGGATACTGGCTGCCTTTGCTACTTCTGATATACCTGGTCCCTGGGTGATTGACTGCCGAGGAATTGACCGCAGTCTTGCCTCCTTATGCCGGGCATGGCTCGCTTAAATGAATCGTCAGCTCCAACAGAGCACATAGAGGCCTGTAAGCACCGCAACCCCTCCCCGCTGGGAATTTACTGAAGCTGACTCTAGCGCCACATCAGTAAAACGACGGTTTGTGCGACAGAATCGTGAGATCGCCCGAGTAAACTCGATACAGTCCCTCCGCATTCGCAGCCTGGAATCTGAAGTCTCTCATCTCCTCTCAGAAAATGTTTCGCTTCGGGAGCAAGTAATAAGTCTTAGCCAGGAGGTAGAGAGATTCGAGGCCGTCCGGCTACTTCAGCATGGTGTTTACGACATCAAGACGAGACTAGACAGCAAGTTGGCGGAGCTGAACAACCTGGTGGCTGACCTTGGCGCACTACCGCGCACGTTCTACAGCAAATGTGCAGAGAATCCCCGAGATTCGAGCCAACATCGGGCACTGCCGGATTGGAAACCGAAGGCTGCTGATGATGAGCTCAATCATGGGAAAGACGAAGACGGAAGGCTTCCTGTCATCCTGGAAGACAAATATTACCCCAGAAGAACATTAGAGTAAGGAAAAGACGAAACCCCAAGCCTTAAATCTTCAATGCTTACCATGAACAGGCCGCAAGAGCTGCAAGATATCCGATATAACACTGCCGATAATCTGAGATCTCCCACTCCGGAAGAACCTGTAGCCACGCAGCCAGACACAGCGGACGACAGCTCCTCTACGAATGATTCTTCCGATATCATGAATGCGCAGCAGGCACCAAGTCACGACGAGCACATATCGGACGAGGACGAGGCAGTTTTGCCCCCAACTCTTGAAACCAGGAAAAGAAAAAGGCCCAACTTAGCATCAAAGCAAATGGAAAGGTCTAGCATGGATCAGGGGGCAACCTCGAAACGAAACATCCCTGGGGCTATCTCTGGTCCAGGAGCCAAGCGCAAATTTTCGGTGCATCATGAAGACACAATAGAATCGTTATCGAGAAAATCCGACGTTCCACGGACAAGCATGCAGTCACCTTCACCGGTGGGCAACAACGAGCAGTCGCTGTCTTCAGAGGCTGATGATAGCCCTTCGAGAGGGAAGGCATCGCTTTTGACAGAAGAGGCAATGAGTCACAGGTTGGCAAAACGGAAAGCATTGGAGCATAGTATGTGCTGTGCCGTGCCACCGCAATACTGAGATTTGATCAGCTAATGATGCTGTAGGAAGCACGAACGTGAATGTGACCAGCCCAACGAAAGCACATACTACAATGGTGCAAGAGAAGCACCAGAAGGGCACATTGTCGTCCTTTGACGAAAAGGATGGGCAAGTTGGGTTGTCCCAAACACCCCCCGAAAAAAGCACGGATCTCGAGCAGTCGAGGCAAGAGTTGACGCCTGGACAGTGTCGAATCTATCAGTCCACAGATGAAGAGAAATTTAACGAAAATCCCATGGTTAAATCCGAGCCCAACACGCAGTCGTCGACGCTTCCAGAAACTGAGAGCGGTCCAAGGATTTTGCCTGAGGTGTCCGGCCCAACAAGGCCTTCCAGGCGTCAGAGAGCCATTGTGAGCTATGCGGAGCCAAATTTACGAGACAAGATGAGGCGACCTACGAAGGAATTGATAGCAGCAGTTGGCGATCACCCAAGACGAAGCTCTAGCTCTCTCAATGCACGGCTGGATTCGAACGAGGATGAGGACCTGCACAAGAATGGGCGATCGAATGGTCGAAGACCGCGAAACTCGGATTCTTCAGGCAAAGAACCTAGATTATCGACGACAGAGGCAGCAGCAGATTCATCCACCCAGCAAGTGAACTCGGTATCTCAGAGGAAACGGAAGACTTCTCCGGCAAGCAAGTGCGATATGGCACCTGAAGGCATTTACGAGTCTACAGGGGCATATCTTAATCACTGGGTGGCTGGGAGTAGTAAAGTCGATGAAGTAATGGCCGAAGATGGCAATTGTCAGACGCAGCCGTCACAGATGGTTGGTAATGATGTTACGAGGAACGTCCCCCCTATTGGGTGCAAGGCCAGACCTGCTACAGCTCGGAATTCTAGACGGCATTCATCGCAGCCCGAGTCATCCAGAAAAGGTGAACTTCAACCAGCAAACAACGGCTATATAGGCATAGACAGCCGAGATGACTCTCCATCAGAGGCCCGTGCAGGTAATTCAGACTCGACAAGATCCCTTGAAGAATTCGTCAAACCGAGCCTTTCTACACAGCAACCAGAAGCGAGTACTGGAGCAGACTTGTCTACTTCGAGGCTGGCCGATTCAGGGCGGACTAAGCGCGGGCAACGTGCCGCGGCTGCTATGGCTAGAAGAAAAAGCATGATGCTGTGAAATATACTTCATTCATAGTTGTTGATAAACGGAGTCTACAATCGGCTCGCCCTTTATGATCACAGCATTACCACTTCTTTCTTTGATTGTCCCCTCATCCATTCATTTCCTTTATTCGCTTTCTAGTTCTGTACAGATTCCAGCAAGCCTTCTGAAATAAGTCTGATGTCCTGCACCATCTTCAACCACCCAGTAATATTTACGTGTATTGTATAGATGACCTGGGCAAACCCGTCTTGAGAAATCATGCTAGAAGAAGTACTATGAGACATCCGTGCCATCCAAGGACGCTCAGGGGACAGGTAAGAAAAGGCTGACCTTGATAGTCAGTGTGGGTTTCCATTTGAACGATACTGAGAATGCAGATTTGATGGGGCGTATCAATTGATGTCGTTATCGCATTGCATGTGATTAAGATAATTCCTCTCATGGCATGTAACAAACACTATTGTGGGAGACCTTAACTGCTGGATACTGAGGATGAATCACAGCGTTAGTCTGCGAAAGATCTCGAATATTTTAACGGCCCTTCATAGTCTTTGGCATTTTCTCATAGGCATTTGGGCTTGGTTTTCGTTTCGTTTTCCTCGTTCGGTGACTTGATCGGCAGGTTCTTCCTTCTCTGTTCGATGGAGGCCTCTGACCAGAAGAAGCATAGTCTTCTCCCTGCCCTGTAGGCGGGCGGTGTCCCGTCCTTCTATGGCAGGCCGCTTCGCCGTCGCTATCTGTGTCCGAATTAGAAGTACTGGAGTCCGAGGATTCGGACTCGGAGCTACTATCGCCAATAGGTCGGGTTTTGTGATAGATGCAGCACACTGCCATATGTGAGCACAGTTTCGGAAAATCCACTGGCTAGGGAAGGATTACCTTTGGAACTCTTTTTTCCCATTCCTTCGTTATCTATGACATCTTCACTCCAGCGTATACGTCGGGAGGTGCCCTCATTCATTTCGGGCCGGTTAGCAGCAGGCTCATCTGCTGCTCTTAACCTCAGTGTTGCTGGACCTGGAATAGCTGACGAAGTGTTGGTATGCTCCTCTGTCAGTTCCAGTTGAGAACTACTTGCTGGCTCAGACGGTATTTGGCGAGTCCGAGACATGGTAATAAAATTCAATTTTTGGCGCAACTCCGTCTCCGGAGAGGCGTCCTGATGCTGTTATGGAACAAAGTTTATTATCGTGGGGGCTAAAATGTCTCTTGGACCATTAGAGCGTTCAGGCAAATGGGGTTTGCTTCTGACGGAGATGCATCACAGCAAGAAACCGGCCTCACACCGCCTTTTCGCTTCTGGTACGCGCTCAACTACTACTACTGATAGACGTTGGGGTTTACTTGCACAACAATAATTTATGGGTAGAATAATGAATGCTTGTTCTTTGTTCTGGATACTACTAGACTACTCCTTAAGTATAATGACCTCTCTGTAGTTGAATGGCCACCTCCGAGAGAATATATCTATGTTCCATTACCTCTTGCTCCCTTTTGGAATTTCTACGACCTTGTCACCGCAGCGCCTGGCTACCTTTAAACAGGCCACTGGTCTTTTCTTATCTTTTCCTTCTTTCTTTCTTTCTCTCCTTTTTTGTATTCCGTTGGGTGGAAAGCTTCAAATATGTTGTCACTGCAAATTGATTGTTGAGGGAAGGCACGAAGGAAGGAGCGGACGAATATCGCGCTGCGCTCTGGAAGCACCAAGACTGACTTTACATGAGGACCATATGATGAAAGAAACCCAATACGCACTGATAATTTCTTGTTCGTTAAATGGCAATTAGTTCAAACTTAGAGTCCATAACATGACCAGCCATCAAACCAGTCACTTGCCGATAAAGACCTGGGATCATTGTCATGCGCTGTGGTATCGGCAGTTGATAGCGCAACTTCGGAACGCAGTTCCTTGTCCAGTCATAGCTCATCCTCTTGATCCATTTCGGATGGCTTCAAAAGACCACCTACCCTCATTGCTCGGTCTCGTTCAGCGGCTTTAGCATCCCGCAAGGCTTGCTCCCTTTCTTCCGCATACAAGTCTGCGTTATCACCGGAGAACTCCTTCAGTGATATCAAGAAATCACGCAGGTGCGTCTTGAACTTGTTAAAGTCGTCATTGAATGCAAACAAGCCAACAACAAATTGTTTGATTTGGATTCTGGGAAAATATTAGCCAATCATTCGGTTTCCTTCGGCTCATATGCTCCTCATGATCGGGTAGAACGTACTCCTGGAGATTCTTGAAAGCAGTTTGTAGGAGATTCGCGACATATTCCTGCAAGAAATCCTTGTTGGATGTCCCTAAGGGTGCCTGCTCAGGAGAATAAATCGGGTTTTGCACTTTGCCAGACTCAATGAAGTAGAACATGCGCGACAATAACATGGCCTGTGATTTGAACCCTGTTATAATAGACATTAGCACACTTCTGTCTACAGGAACTAGACTACATACCGGCTTTATGATCACTGTCTGTCAGGACAAAGAATACATCCTGCAAGATAGGAATGTAAAACTGTTGGAAGAAAATATTTGAGGTCTGAGCATCAGTGTCGGCCATGTTGTTCATGAGCTCAAGGCACATTGTGAGACCTGTATTCTCGACTTCACGATTGTCGTGTTTGCTGGCCCACATGCAAGAGTCGATGACAAACTTGAATTGCGTAGCATCGAGCTTGAGCAATGCCGGGAAACAGTACAAGTTGATAGCTTGAATCAGCTTGAAGAACTGGACACGGTGCTCTGGATAGTCATGGAAGTCTTTGTTGATCATTCCTAGTGTGCATTCAAAGACGCTCTCCATTATCAAGGGGACTTTGTCTTCCATCAGATTCTGGATATCACATGTCAGCTTCATATCAGTCCTGCAAGGCTTCAATGTCATCTAGTGGGGCTGGCGTACGTGTAACTTGTGAATAATCGTCGTCATGACGTTCAAGACCTCCGCCTCACGCGCGTCAGGGACATTGCGATTGTAGTCGACGAGAACGGCCTCCAGGAGCGGAGGGACCATGTTTGCATTTACCATTTCCAGGTCGTCAGCTTTCTGCACATAGGTGTCGATGAGCTTCAATATTTCCTTCTTGATCGTCCTTAGACCCCGGACTTTCGGGGTCTTCGTTGCAATGTTGCCTATGTAATGGTCAGAAAGCCCTAACAACTGACATGCTCGCTGCATAAGGGGTGAAGTGAAACGGGAATGACGAGAGGTAAGAGTGTGGCGGGGACAGAAGAAGACATCCTTACCATCATGCGCTACAGCGTCACTGATAAGCTGGCTGGAGGCACGGAACATATTGAGCATGTCATGATAAATCCGTCCAAGCTGGGAATAGAAGTAAGTGCCCACAGAGGAACATGCTGCGACATTCGTCTTCATAATATTTCCGATGATTTTTATCGTCTCGCCATCTTGAAGTATAGCGGGGTTCTGGTTTGCTTGCACTATGATGGCATCCCAGGCTGAGTTAGGCAGGGACATCAAATTTTCGATCAGTCGGTCCTGGAGGCCCTTTTGGCCTTGTGCCGAGATCATGTAACCACAGGCTTCGTAGAAAGTGTGGACCTGCTGAGGAGAAAGATCACAAGTAATTTTCCTCATATTGCGAACGATTTCCTCAATGAATGGCTCGTTCTCCCCCGGTTGAAGCGCAACAAAATGCCGCCTGCATTTATTCGCAATCTTGATGAATGTATCGCAAGCCATGTCCTGAACACCTGGTTTGGGTTAGCTAAATACTTTCCATCTGCAGGGCAGCAACACACCTTCATGAGTCTCATGCATGAACTCGAAAAGCTTGTTCACCACGGTCTTCAAGAATTTCCAGTGCGCTTTCAGGAATCTGGGATACTGTCCGACAATGTACATGATATTACTGGCGACGACGGCTTTGTTGTCCTTTCCACGCTTCATTTCGGTAAGACCAAGGAGATCTTTGATGACGTTGACCAGGAATCGCTTCTCGGTCTCTTCATTCATGGCTCCGGAAATTGAACCAATGGCCCAGCAGAGAGTATTACAATTGGCCCAGGACCATTCGGACCCGTCAACCTGCTTGGCTAACTTTTCAATCATGATATTCTCAGTGTCGACGACATCCAGATGAGTCAGATAGACCAGGCATTCGCGTATCGTCTTGTAAAGTTGAATGGTGTCACTTTCTTTAACGAATTCGCGAACAATTTCGCCTTCGTCATTTTCAACAATCAAGACTTCCTCAGGACGCACCATCTTCTCAATCATGACTGTGCGAAGGCTTGATAAAACCTCCTCGTACTTGTGTTTCCGGAGAGGATAGTTGGCCAACGTGCTGGGATGCGGTGCACCTCCGTTCGACAGGCCGCTAACACCCATACTGACCAGAGGATTGATATCTGTGATTGGAAGCTGCTGCATCTCTTCGTACAGTTCTTGCACTAGTCTCGTCCAATATTCCAGGCAGATCTTGAAGACTTCCCTGTCGTCGATTTGACTGATACGAATGAGGTAGAAATGGGCGTGGGTGAGGTAGTCACGGTTGGGCAATTTTTCGATCAGCTTGATGAGTTAGCACGAACCTGATTGTTATGCCATGAGAACTCACATTCAGATGAGCGCTAAAAAAGCTAGAAAGAAACAGTGCCAGGTTGAGAACGAACTCTTGGTCCCTCGAGTTGCTCTTGGCATAGGTCTGTTTCAAATCCATGGACAAGGGGATGATTCTTGAAACTGCAGTCAGCGTCTCTGTGAACATATGGACCAGCCTTTCATCGTAATTGTACGGGTTGCCGATTTGTAACCCGCCGATTTCAGTGAGGCACTTGAGTGTGACATTTCTGAACTCAGGAACATCCAGAAACCGCGTCAGTAGGGTGTTTATGATGGGAGTTTCGAAGATATATCCTAAAGGAATCCAGTTCAAGAAACGAAGCAGAGTCTCTAGCGTAGCTTTGACAAGACTTGGCTGGTTCGCCGTGTTCAAGACCTCGGAACATAGCTGGAAAATGGACGAGAACTCCTGCGTCATTGAGGTCTTCAAGTTTCTCGCTTTGACCGAAGTCATTTGATCCTGGGAAAAGTCAAACACTTCTTCGGATAGTAGACGAAGAATCGCCATGTTATTCTCGCAGATGGACAGGCTGGTATGGCAAGACGAGATGATTTCGTTGATAAAAGTTGGCCAGTTATGTGGCCACTCTTGTTTCAGGATGGAAACGAGAACCAGGTTGAGCTTATTAAGGAAGGCTCGCTCACTCCTTAGCTTGTCCTCCGATTTCGAGTTTTCGATGATGAAGTTGACAATGAAATTCCGAATACCTGAGGATGTTAGAATAGTTCGACAATCGAGGTTAGCTTAAAGAAATCACCTAGACATTGCTCCCTGGGTAAGACCTTCCATCGCGTCATAATCACATCGTCAAGGACCTGGAGAGCAAGATCTGATTTTATCAGCGCACGGCCGTCTGCAGTATAGAGTGAGGCTTCGTCTCGCACATTTTGTCTGTGGGTATGTTGATTCTTGGAGAATATTTCCCACAATTAACCAAGCATCCGGATTTTGCTTGAACTGGTCGCCGGAAACAAGTCAGAGCTAGATGAATGATATGTGCTATGCAATTCGGTCACTCACCTCCGTCAGGGTCTGCTGAGCTTGCTTTTGCTGTGAGTCGCATACCAGGTCAGTTCACATCCCAATTATGAGGACACACATTGAAAGTCATAAGCGCCCAGCTCCTTGCGACATACCAGATCTCCCTTGCCCTCATAGAAGGCCCGGACTGTGTTGTCCAACTCTTGTATGGAAACAGACATTCCGCTCCAGAAGTTGACAGTACTGTACGCTGCGCTCCTCGGCCTTCAATAGACGATTCAAGCAAGCGAGGTCTAGATGAAGACTCAGTAGGGTCTAGAGAAGGCCGTAGATACGAGACGGCGTAGCAAGAAAGAATAGGTTGGCAGAATATATGGCGGGGTAAGAGGCTTCCTTGGAGGGGTTCGTCGGAGGTAGGGTGAGCTTGGAGCAAACTCCTGCCTGAAGATGCAGCAGCCTTGGAGAAGCAGCTGGTAAAGTGGGGTACGGTGGCTGTAATTTATGATGAGAGTTCTGGCTTTGGGATATGGATATTTCTGGAAA